GGCTTCCGCGCGTCCAGGCCCACGCTGCATCGCTGGGTGGGAGGTGCCTGTCGAAGTCGTACAAGAACAAATATGTTAAGCTTCTCTGGGAGTGCCGGGAGGGACACCGATGGAAGGCGACAGCTGACAGCGTGATGAACGGCAAGAACTGGTGCCCAACTTGTGCAAGCAGCATTTGGAGGACAGAGGCGGAGATCCGTGACATCCTTCAGACCATCTTTTTCCCCTCCAAGTTTGGGTCCTGCTATCCGAAATTTTTGGAGGGTCTGCAGCTGGATGGCTACTGCGTTGAGCTGTCGCTGGCATTCGAGTACCAGGGTGAGCAGCACTATGATCCCAAAAACTATTTCCACTTCGGTGACATCTCCAGCTTCGAGGCGCAGCAGGAGAGGGATGCAAGGAAGGTGATGCTTTGCAAAGCTGAAGGGGTGCGGCTAGTGCTTGTCCCTTACTTCGTGACGGACAAGAGGACTTTTGTGGTGACAGCTTTGTTGCAGTGGTTTTTCATTGGGGAGATTGTTCCCACTTTGCTTCCCACGCGAGCATTTCCAATAAAGCCGGTCAAAAGACTCAGACTCTTCTGTCGCAGGGTTGTTGACAGGAAGAATAGGGGGTACGCAGAAACAGCTGAGCATGGCAAAGCGCTCCTGTGTTTGAAAGGAGCAAGGTCTTCAATTGCTTGGCGTTTGCTGGGTGGTCAACATTGGGTGCAGTATTCAACTCCATGTTGTTAAGCCTGCAGGGCTTGCATTGTTTTGCGAGCCTGGGGTTTGTCAAGGTTTTTTTGGAGAATGTTTCCTGGAGGCTTGGCTGTAGGTAAAACCTTTCAGATAACATGGAAGGGAGCAGGATGTAGGAATCCCTCTACAGGTCCAGCTGGCAAGTGCATCCGTTTGGCATCGCGGCGTGTTTGGCCGGAGCTTGTTCTGCGATCAGTGGGAGGAAGAGACCCCACTTTGGATGCCTGTGGGGTAGCCTTGGGTATATGCTGGTCAGCCTGGTCAACCATCCTAGGTCCTAGACCCCTGAGTCGCCCCGCACCCTCTCAATTTCTTGCCGAGGGTGACAGTTTGAGAACGTGCGTATGGCCGAAGAATAGCAGTCTTCGTGAGTATGTAACCTGCAGATACTTGTTGCTCATCTAACTATGTGATCAGAACCCTGATAGTCCAGCCAGCTTTAGCAAAACACAGAGAATCACCCGTAATCATCGTCGTTGTGGTCAGTAGCCGCAGCGACCCTCTAGCAAACATGTCAGCGAGCCCCGAACCAGCAACAGGCTCCCGAGTCTCCAGCAAGCGATGGAAAAGCAGAGGCAAGGCATAAGCACTTTACATCTTGCCTATAGAATGTCTAATCTGTGCCGGAGGCTTCTCGCGGCCAGTTGCAGTGAATCCTTTGCGTCTGTGGGGGCTTATATTGCAGGGTCTCCATCTATGAGTTGGGCGTACTTAGACTTAAGTTAAAGAACAGATGGAAAAGACAGTTTTGAGCAGAGTCTTATTCGGCTTCTGACTTGTCAGAGTTAACATCAAAATGCTCGTGGGTTGTAAGACAATGCGCGTCTGCGGATGAGAGCTTGGGAGGTGTACAAGCTTGGGCATGGCAGTCGAGGGTTAGTCCTGTGACAGGACGCGAGTCAACTGGTTGCACTCCGCGAGACGGGCGTCGCCGCTGGCTTGGACTCGATGTTCATAAGATTTGTGCCTAGACTATGCCGTGTCCAGACAGCTGCGTAGATTTTCTGGAGAGAAAGAGTCCTCGACTGGGGGTTTTCACGATGAGAACAATTTTGATTGTAGAAGTGATTGTCATGATGAGACATTGTCAGCCACTTGGGTTTGACTATTTCGAGTCGCTGTACAAGCAACACGAGCACACGGTGCTCGCACAGCTTCATTGCACACCTTGTCCCGTGACGACATGCAAAGGTTAGGCTAGAATGATGGCGAAGAAGTTGGGAACCCTTCTTCTGGGAAAGCATCCCCATATGGGACAGTTATGATTGGCAAGTAGTGCCGGATTTTCTGAATCCTTCACGTAGAGAGTTAGAAGTGTAGTGTACATAGCTATGCATCCTCACCGCTCGCCCTACCCAAAGGCAAGCTCGTCTGAGTGCATAGGCGTGGTGGCGTGTGTTGTTGCGGCGGGCCCTTTCTCTCGGGATGCGCGACTTGAGTGGTCTTTCAGCCTTTCAGAAGCGCAATGCTTGCTGCTGCGGAACGAGGAAGTCTTCTACATTGGCGATGGTGATCAGGTGGAGGAGCTCTTGTGTTCGCAGTACCCTAGAGTCTAAGCCTTACAACCCCAACCAACCTCAGCCAGTTCCGTCATCCAAGCCATCGTTTTCAGGAGGAGGCCGAGGAAAAGCAGGCGGCCTCGCACCCTCCACAGCTCTTGCGGGGATCTTCCTGGGAACAACTTTAAATTGCAACCGCCCATATTCCCTGTAACAAATTCCTTGTAAACCAAAGAAGTACATTATAGGGCCCTTAAAATCTGTCCCAGCTGTGGTTTTGGATGTTCAGGAAAGGTTTAAGTTGTACAGGACTCATAGGGTTTATGAGGCTATTAGGGTTTGTAGGATTTATAGGGTTCATAAGGTTTATAGGGCCCGTAGACTTACGAAGTTTACAAGCTTCCTCGGGTTTATGGAGCTGACAACGCTTGTCGCACATATAGAATGTAGAGGTTTGGGTTTCGTGCGTAGGCTTCCCTAAGGAGGCCAGTATGGCTTCCATCGGACTCCATGGGATCTCTCTGGCGTGTGAACGCCGACAGAATACGTACCAGATAGTGCTAGGTTTGCGGGATTTCCCGAGCTTGCGGCAACATGTCAAGGGCGTAGGTAGTATTTCGATGTCACGAATTCTGGAGCACTGGCTTAGGTTGGGAGTCAAGGCTTCAAAAGAGTCCGTGGGGACCATCATTGTCGTAGCAAGACCTTGGCATCAGCCTGATTACAGGCATTCCTTTGAGAGAAGTCTAAGCTCCCTTCTCAGGTACCACATAGAATGTTGATGTAAGACTTAGTTCAAACTTTTTGGTTCCTCTCTGGGAGAATTATCAGTTAGTTGTTTTCAAAAGATTTTACTTCCAACAATTTCGCGTCGTGCGAAATACAAGCCTGCCTGACAGGCCGAGGATGCTTTCCTGGCTCCGCTGCCTGCTGCCGACCAGGAGGCATGGGAAAAGGGTCGCGGGGAGGTGGGTGGATTTGAAGTGTAGGCAAGCGTTACCTTTCGGTATTTGGACAAGGCTTGGTATGAAGTTTCCATGCAGCAGGATAGTATCATGGCTGACAGCAATCATCACTTCACAAGCGTCACGGTGTCTGGTTTGGTTACTTCAGCTTCACATATGTGCAGCATTAAAAACATGTCCTCTTGACTCGCAGGAGGAAAGGCATGCCTCCAAGAAGTTCACCGCACAACTTTGAAAGTGGGCCCGCCCTTCTTCACAAGTTTTTGGTGGATACCTGAAAATCTTAAGTTAATCCCCCTATATTCCCAATGTACTATGGTAGTTTCCGATTTCTTTGCCATTATCCCCTATAAACCCCCAACATGCTATGGTAGTTTCTAACTGAGGCGAGGCCAGGCCAAGGTGCCATCCTCAGTGGGAGGATCCCCCTAAAGGAAGCGGAAGGACCCACAAACGAGGGACTCCCCTTGATATCCCGTCTCCACAGACTTAAGTCTAACCAATCTAGGCCGTACCCTACAAACCCCACACCGCACCACCGCACCACGCTGAAATCCCAAACTTCAATCTTCAAGGCTTCTGCCATAAGCACAAGCAGTCGCACACTTCTACACTCCAAACTTCTCTCAAGTTACCCTCTAAACCCGAAACCCCAAACAAAAAGCCCCAAACCCTAAGCCCTAAACCCTAAGCCCTAAACCCGAAACCCTAAGCCTCCCCCACCGTCCAGGCACCTCCGCCAGACGAACCAACGGCCGGCCCTGGGCTGCCTGTTCAGGTCGGCTATTCACATGGGGGTTTCATAGGTCCCTTTCAAGGGGGATATAGAGGCAATATAGGGATTGTATAGGGGTTTATGGGGATTAGAGCTTGAGGCTGTACATAGGGCTTCGGATGTTCAGGGATCAAAGATTATAAGGGTTGGGGACTGTAGGGGTTTGGGGGGTTTAATGGCTCAGTTGCCTTGGGCTTTCGGGTATTTGGGTTTGTGAGCATTTGTATAGAGCTTTCGGGTTCGGGGTTCGGACTCAGTTTTTAGGAGCCCAGAGGTTCTGGGTCTAGGTTTCAGGGGTTGACGGTTCGAGAGAAGCCCCAAACCCTGCCCTAAACCCTGTACCCCTAACCACAAGCCCTAAGCCTAAGATCTGTGCAGGAGGCTTCCCCGCATGGCCGTGTTCCAGAAGCCGATGCTGTAGAGGACATTGGTCTGCTTACAGTTACTGGGGCTTGCAGAGGTAGATTTGACTACCTAATTAGCACTGCTGACCATGGTATCTAGTTGTGGTATGTCTGGTGGATGGAGAGGGGAAGGCAATAGATTTTCGAGACTCGAGCGCAAAGTCTGCACTGCTCTGAAGGAGGAGCCTGAGCCTGCTGAAGATCCAGAGATGGAGGCAGGACTCTCCTCCATTGTTCTAACGATGATGTAGGAGCTTATTTGAGGAATTGTTTAGGGTGGCATGGTAGAGATTTGGTCAAGGAGTACAGTGCCCTGGATTTTAGGGTGGCAAAGCTCGTCTGGTTTCATTCCACCTTGGTAGTTGAATTCTTGCTGTCAGTTTGTGCGTTTAGGTGCAGTGATAGGCAATTGTTTTCGGCCTGGCATGCTTTCTAGTTTCGCACGGTGTTATTGTCTCATTCAGTATCGACTGTCGACAGTCTGTGGCCATAACAACCTTATATATACCCCTATATAACCCTTTTAAACCTATATTACCCTATATAACCCCATATAACCCTATATAACCCTATGTAGCCCACATGGTAGTCGTTTAAAGGCTGCAGGTGGTTGGCGCAGATAGATTGGGGTCCAGTCTTCCGAGCATCGCGCCCAAGTCCAGGCAAGTTCTCAGTACGCAATACTCCAGATACGATGGATGTTGCTTTTAGTAGGGTTTCTACGACTGCCCCAATCGATGTCTTGCCAGGAATCGAACAAGCCTTGCACGTTTTGTGTTTCTTGTCTTCCTTTCAGCGAGGGGTCTCCGCAACAAGAACTAAGAGCGAATCGAATTGCTCTTAGTCGGTCAGCATTCAGCCTTTTTCTGCAGAAAACAACTCCCTCCCCCAAACCTCGACTCAAAAATCCTAGAAGGCCAAGTTCAAGCCTGAACTGAGCAACCCAAAGCCCTCAATCCCAAATTGAAAATCCTTTCAGCAATGGCCGTCAGGCTCCGGAGTCCCCGCCTCCCTCCGCAGAGGCTCCGCGCGCAGAGGCGGCTCTCTGGTCTGGCATAGAGGGATATAGAGGGATCAAAAGACGAAGAAGTCTGGGGTCTAAGGACAATTCTGATTTTTTTAAAGTTAGGTGTTGGGCTTGGGTCTTTGTGATGTTGCAGGGATGCGGAGTACAAGGATCTTTGGGAGAATTTCGGAATTAGAACATATTCTGCGGGTAGCTTTCCGGGATGATAGTCGCATCGTAAGGGGAGGATGTGGATGATGATTTCAGCTGCAATGATGAAGGTACCTTCAAGGGGACGCATGGATTGTTAAAGAAAGCCAGCAGGAGGACTTATTGCTGTGTGTGGCAGCTGATTCTGGATTTTGTCACATGGCACATGGTTTTTGCAGGGATTTTGCTTGGATCATTCAATTTGTTCCTTAATGTCGCTAGAGACGCTAAATGACATTAAATGCTCCTTAAATGTCACTATTCGCTCTGGGCCCATCAACGGACAAATAGCAGCAAACAGCAGCAAATTGCATCAATTTGCCACTGTTTGTTGCCTGGCCTCATCTTGCCTGGGCTGCTTAAGCACTAAATGACATTCATCATGTGGAGATCTCATAGGTCATGAGGGTCCTTAAGCCGTATGCCTTGGACCCCAATTCCTAAGGTATAAATCCTCGCCCTGGACCTTAAGCCCTAAGGTGGATGGAGGAAATCTTAAATTTCCTATGTTAAACGGTATGTAGGGTGATGCAAGGTTTTCTCCATCCACGATTCATGGGACCCTCAAGTTTGAGAAATCTCCTTTACATAAGCCCTGTATATCCCTATATAATGAACCTGCAAAAGCCTTGCCATCCCGGCAGCTTGCATCAGGATGGATACTCTCCCCACATAAAACATGGAAGACCCAAAGGGACCGTACAAAGACTACTGGCCCTCCTCAAAGCAGGCCGGCGTGTCAGCCTGCAGGGCTGGGCATGCTTTTTTGGGGCTTTTTAAAGTGAGCCTGCGCAAGCTTTGCGATGGAAGGGCCCCGACAACCTAGATCCTAACAGCCCAAACGTGGCCCTACGAAGATGCCTGTCCTCTTTTAATCAGCCCCAAATTGAAGAATGCTCAAGCCTAAACCCCACAGCGCCAAACCCTAAACCTTGAAACCTGAAACCCCGAACCAGAACACACTGAATTCCCAAACCCTAAGCTTTGAAACCCTCAACCCCCAACAGCAAAACCGAAACCCTAAACTTCTTGACTTCTAAACCCTGCAACCCTTAAACCCTAAACCCCAAATCCCCAAACCCTCCCTCTTTCAGCAAGCCCCTAAACCATAAACCCTCAAATCCTCATGTTGTCAGGATCTCGCTCTGCCGGAGCTGCCCAGTCTCCAGCCAGCGAAGGATGCCGCCGCCGAGGAGGTGCTGCGTGCGATTTGCTGAATTTAGGGTTTAGGGTATCATTGGGGGATAATATAACCCTAAACCGTAAAGGGTTACCCAGGTGGAGTTAGAATAGGTTCCTATGAGTTTAGGGTTTAGGCTTCAGTTAGGTTTAGGGTTGTGGGGTTAAGGTTGTAAGGTTTGGGGATTTCAGTTTCTTGGGAGGTTAAGGTAGGGTTAGGGTTCTGGGGTTAAGGTTGTTGTTGGCTTTGGGGGTTTCAGGTTTTGGGGGTTTCAGGTTTTGGGGGTTTCAGGTTTTGGGGGCTAAGGGGTTAAGGGTTTTGGGATGTAGGAAGTTGGGTTCGGTTGTTGAGGGTTCGGGGGTCAGGATTCAGGGTTGGGGAGTGGGGCTTAAGGTGTCTATATATGTAGCACAAAAGTCAAGATATTACCCAGGTTAGAACATGTGGCCTCTTATAGTTACCATTCTGCAGAACATTCCTGCTTCGCTCTATACCTACCTTCCTCTTTTCGAGTGTTGAGAGCTGCGGATGAAGGATTGAGGGAGCTTTGTAAAAGTCTGGGGCCCAACTTGGAGCCACATGGACACAGTTGAAATTTGCAGGGTCTAGACTCTAGAGTGATGTTCAGATACCCTGCTACTGCGAGCTGCGTTTTCACGGGGCAGACAACTCATATGTCTTCTTGCGGAGTTTACGCGATGACATAGGAAATTTGCGGGCGTTAGCCAGATCCCCCAAAAATAGACCCAAAATTTGCTGGCATCATCCAGATCCCAGTTCCCCCTAAGCCCTAAACCCTAAACCCAATCCCAAATCCTTATTGGATCAACTCCATAGATTCGGAGCTTGGGGCTGAGGATAAGGCAAGCCACATGGGGGTTGTTACCCTTTTGAGTTCACACTACATGTAACATAGCCTTTCGCTAAAATACATTGCTGGGGTACCCGAAAAGGATCACAGCTTCGACAACCCCTGTATAGGTTCTGTGGTTTCAGGTTTATTGGTTTGAGATGGACTTGGCAACTTTCCACGTTTCTTTCGCGGGGCTCAGGGTTGGAGGCTGGGTTTCAAGCTAAGGCCCAGGGTACAGGATCTCATGCGAGTATCTTTTTCTAAATTGGGGTGCCCTTTCTACGGATACTACAATCTTCATTATGGGCCTCCCTAAACAGGAGACCTCGTTTTTTGAAGTGTGTACACAGGAAAGAATTGGGATTTCGGCACTTTCAAGAGAGCTGGGCAAGCAGCTGTGCTACTACCCCTCAAGCTACCATTGAACCGCGAGAAGAGGGCTTACATGAACTGCTGTCGCTTTGAAAGCGGCCGTGGGTGCAGCAAGAACCGACGGGAAGATAAGAGAGTTACAATGCCTCTGATGGAAAATCTCGGTAGATCCTGGCCTCCTTGGCGCACTGCCCGGCTTGAAGTTCCAGGGTGCTTAGGAACTTAGGAAGTGCAGTTGTAGCCCAATTGTAACCAAGGGCCCCTAAGCCCCAAACCCCATGTGAGCCCTCAACCGGGCAAATGGAAGTATTATCCTTCACCTGCACCCTGCAGCTCAAACGAAGACCTTGTGCGAGAGGCATGGGGAGCGGTGGCCCCGTTGCCAAAGGCTGTGGCGATTCCGCTCAAATCCCACAGGGTTTAGGGTTTGGGGTGAAGGTTTCTGTGTTCAGGGTTAGGGGCGTCAATAATCACCAATAGTAGAGATTAAAGAGCATGAAGCCGAAATGGAAATTGGATTCACATAGGCAAACAACACACCCAGCGTGGAACTGTTTCTTCCTTCCACGGGATTTCTTTCTTAAAGGAATGAGATTCGGGGGAGGGGGGTTACACATTGTCCCTGAGATCATTGAGGATCCTACAGGTACTCTAAATACTCGTTCGATACCACTTCTTTCAGCAGCCAAACGTGCCATGCAAAGCGTTTTCTTTATTTTGCGTGGCCCTGCGCTTGCTTGATTTGTGTTTCCCGCTCCACGAGAGAGAGAGAGAGAGGGAGAGAGAGAGAGAGACAGATAGATATATATATATATATGGCCATCGCAGTTACCACTTCAGGAGGCGACCTTCGTGTAAAACCAAGCCATTGTGACAGGGCCTTAGTTTGGGGTTGAGGTGGGGGGTTACCAAAGTTCTCTTTTTTTTGATGGTAGTTCGAAGCACAAACGTATGTCCAGATACAGTCAACACAAAGAGTATTCTCTATGCCATTCACGGTAAGATCAGTCGTTACATCACGCACTTGGTACTGGGACGTGTAGCCCCGGCAGATCCCCAGGAATAAGGGAATATAGTATATGGGGATTATATAGGGATCAAATTCCCTTATTCCCTACTAAGAACCCCCAATATATATATATATATATATCCTGCTATACTGTAATGACTTCCATGCTCCTTTCCATTATACTTATATAACACCAAAATATACCCTAAACCGAAACCCTAAACCTACTGACCCCAAGTCTGAAAGATGTCGCCCATGCTGGCAGGCGGAGAGGATCCTGTGGGCGGACCGGGATGCCAAAGTTCAAGTTGTTGATATTAGCTTCATGATTACTATTACTCCTCTTAGTAGTATTAGCATTACTATTACTACCAGTGTTTAGGTTTTAGGGTTTAGGCATGCAGTGGGTCTTTCAGCCGCATACGTGTCCTGCATCCTTCGCAATGACAATGATTTAGTGCGAAGTACTGAAAGATCGCCTCCAACAATATCGAGGGTTTTAGAGTGCCACAATGGCGTGGGTTGAGAGACAGGGGTTCTTTGAGGTCTAGGGTGATGACAATTCGCTCCTGATTTTGGAAACCTTCGTCCCTGTTAAGCACTATACAACCCCAGAGTGAATTTCATTGTCCATTTGTCTTCTTTCCGAATGTTTGGGAACCCGAATCCTATAAAGCGTTGTGCTATACAACCCCCATAGTGCCCTTGACGGGACCCTTGGAAATACCCATATGAGGGTCAGGCACCTATGCTCTTCAAACCCTGATGCCTCGAGCACACGGTAGTTGTACTGTAGATGGAGGAAATCTTGCAGCATTTCCAGCCTTAGGGCCCCATACGCGCTGTACTTCCTAAGAGAAATGGAGGCTGAAGGCGATTGAGGATTTCTTCCATGAACAGTAGGCTCAGCGGAAACTCAGAACTTGAATGCAAAGCGCAAGGCCAGCGAAAGCCCACAAACCTCAGCCTGCTTCAAGATTGTCAGTGGAAAGTATGGACAGCTGCTGCGCAAAAACCATCTTTACAATCGCAAGTTTGGGACAGCATGTGTGACTCAGGATGCCTGATTTCTAGGGGCAGTATCCAATGGTTGAGACTTCAACCGCTGTGGCTTCCTTGCCGCAAGGGAATTCTGGTGGTACCAGACTTCCTGTGTCATTGCCGCATAAGACTTCCATTTTTTAGATACATCTGGAACCCAAGAAGAGCATTAATTTTCATGTCTGAAAAGCTTCGGCTAAGGGCCGTTTCTATGAGGATCCGAATAGAAGGAAACGATGCAGCATGTTCAAGGTCTTCTCTCTTTTGAGCGAAGTACACTAGGGGACAATCGATTTACATTGCAGAAAAAATCAAGAAATCTACGCAGGATCTACTGAAAGGATTTTCTACTGGGTTTAGGCATCCCTACTCCACACCCTTCGCAATCCCAGATCCAAACCTCAAAGTCCACTCCGACGTGACGCGAAGGATGCGCGAGAATCTCCGAAGGTCAATGGCTCGGCTTCTCCCTTGGAGGCCGGAATTGGTGAGTTGAGTTCATGTGAACTAGTCTAAACCCCTTACAGGGGGTTATACGTGGGTTATATATTCAGGAAGGATACCAGGAATTTAGACTAGAGCTATGTGGAAGTTTGCGTTACCTGGACCTTGGCCCTGTCCTTCCTTCTTGGGTTCCAGCAATGTTGCAGCTATATCCTAAAACATTTAGGACATCCAGGGTCCGGGCATTCAATATTGTTTCGAGCTTTTTTTTTAGGGTTTGGTTGGCCCGTTCTCAGACTGAAGTAGCCCCTGCCCAAGTTGTGTAACTGCTGGCTAGAAGGTGCCTAGGTCATACCTAGAATGCCTCTATCTGCGTCCATTGGTTTACTTCCACCTGTGCGTAGGTCGGCACACCGCCGCGGGAAGAGACGAACCCTGCGGAGGCCCTCGGCTTAGCTGGGCCTTGGGGTATTTCCAGCAGTAACTGATCTTGGTTTTCAGCTTGTTTTGGCTTGGGTGGCTTATGATTGGAGTAGATGAGCTTGGAGTCCCGATCGCGAGTATGATTAATCTAAGGAGAATTGCAACAAACTACATTATAAAACCTAGAAACTTACCGCAAACTGAAATCCTACACTGAATAAATAAGCCCAATAAACCCCAGCCCTCAAAATCCTGCACCCTTAAGTAACCTCAGCCCCAATCTTGAAATTCCGAGACCCTCAAGCCTTCAACTCCAAGGACGCAAGCTCACATCCTGAAACTCCTAAGCTTTTTTCCCTAAAAAGCCTAAACCCAATCCTCAAAATCCTGCACACCATGGCAGGCCCGGCCAAGACCAGGAGGCTATCCAGAGGTCCTGAGGGTCCGGAGGGAAGAGAGTATACAAGGGTTTTTGTGGGTTGGAGTGCGTGTTTGAGGGTTTCTGGCTTTTGTGTCTGTGTGTGTGCAGTTTAGGGCCTGTAAGTCTTGGATTTGGGGATTAGGTTTTGGGGCTGCAGGGATTTGAGGTCTAGAGTGAAGGCTTGGTAGGGAGCAGCTATATCTGTGGATCTCTTTGGGGAGCGTCTGGGATGAGGAGTTTTACTGATGGCATATTTGGACTACAGCTTCGCTGGGTCCTGAAGTTGAGGTCCATTTCAAAGGTGCAGGGATTCAGCTGAGGTTTCTCATAAGTACAGATTTCAGAAGGATTTGGAAGCATGTTTTTCTATCAGAATGAGGATGGTGATCGTCATCATGATGCCAAACTCCCTCTGCAAACATGAAACCTGGTAAGGGGCGCTTGTAAACCAGTATCCTTTGAATGGGTTCTTAGTGTGAGCAAGATAGAACTTGGGATTGTGGGGGATGAGGGCTCAAAGAAGAACGGTCAGGCGGCGTTGAGAGGGAGGGGGTCTGTCTTGACCTATTGAATCAAGTTATCTGCAAACAGTTGAACACGAAGCCATGATCTGATGCAAGGGTGGGACGTCGTTTCGAACCCTCGAGTCTTCTGTTGGGCTCAAGGGTGCGTGGTCTGAGTTACGGCCTGTTTTCATCGGATCTGGTCTTTAGGGTTCAGAGCTCGTGGTGAATTGAGATTGCTACAATGCTTCTCATGGTAGCTGATGCAAATGAAATTTAGATAATGTTGATTTGGAAGTTCTGGAAATAGCAAAAATGACGCCCGCAAACATGGGCAAGTCGCAAGGAGTGGATTATTATGAACGGTTGGAACTGAGTAGACACATAGTTGCATACCTCCGGCCTTCAATGCAAGTTGCCTCACCGGTGCATGAGCCTCTTCATACATTGCTGCTCAAAGAGGCGCCAGTCCGTCTTACAGCAGATGCTGGAACCACCGGAGGGATGGATCGTAGACCAGGAACCTTGTCCCAGGCTCGTCTTTGCCTGGTGCTGGCTTCATATGGAATGGCAAGCAGGCATGGTATGAAGCGGGGCGGCCGCGTTGGCTTCCATAAGGGGATGGGAGCAGGAAAGCTGAGAGGAACATCTTCAACTGAGCAGAGCTCGCGCCGGACTCGCATGACCAAAGATGAGCTTCTAAGGCGCCTTCGAGACCACGCTGTGAGCAAAGGCGGGTCATGCCTGGCAGACTCTTATCTGAACAACAGGACTAAGGTCCAGTGGGAGTGCGAGCATGGCCACCGATGGCATGCCACTCCAGCCAGTATTTTGGATCAGAAGTCCTGGTGCCCGCAGTGCGCTGTTGAAAGGCGAATGAGCTCTCTGGAGCGATTGCAGGACCACGCGAGGGAGCGAGGCGGCAAGCTCCTGTCCACTAAGTACACTAACAGCAGGGCCAAGTACCGCTGGCAGTGCAAGCTGGGACATACCTGGGAAGCTGCTGCCTACAGCATTCTGAACTGTGGCACCTGGTGCCCTGAATGCGCCCGAAAGCAGAGAGTGCCCACCACGCGAAGCTTGCAGGACCTGCAGGAGCATGCAGCTTCCCGCGGAGGCCGCTGCCTAGCCACTGAATATTACGGTGTGAGGAGGAAGGTGCCCTGGGAGTGCAGGAAGGGCCACAGGTGGCTTGCAACTCCAGACAATGTGCTGAATGGCAACAGATGGTGCCCTGTCTGTGCGCAGCGTGCTCCCATCCGTTTGGAGCGGCTGAGGAAGCATGCGGTGCAGCGAGGCGGGGAGTGTCTTGCGACGGAGTATGTGAACGCGCACAGAAAGGTGGCGTGGAAGTGCAAGCACGGACACGTCTGGCAGGCAATAGCCAACAGCGTGATGCGCCTGGGTACGTGGTGCCCGCACTGCAGGAAGATTGGGCTTGCGCGCCTCCAGGCCCACGCCGCATCGCTGGGTGGGAGGTGCCTGTCGAAGTCGTACAAGAACAGTTCTGTCAAAATTCTCTGGGAGTGCCAGGAGGGACACCGATGGAAGGCAACGGCTGCTAGCGTGATGAACAGCAAGACCTGGTGCCCAACTTGCGCAACCAGCATTTGGAGGACAGAGGCGGAGATCCGCGACATCCTCCAGACCATCTTCTGCCCTTCTAAGTTCGAGTCCTGCTATCCGAAGTTTCTGCAGGGCCTGCAGCTGGATGGCTACTGCGGTGAGCTGTCGCTGGCATTCGAGTACCAGGGTGAGCAGCACTATCATCCAGAAAATTATTTCCATTTCGGTGACATCTCCAGCTTCGAGGCGCAGCAGGAGCGAGATATCAGAAAGCAGGAGCTGTGCCAGGCAGCCGGTGTGCGGCTGGTGCTCGTTCCATATTTTGCAAATGACAAGCGAACCTTCGTAGTGACCGCCCTGTTGCAGTGGTTCTCCATTGAGGAGATTGCTCCTATCGTGCTGCCCCTGCACAGAACTTGTCGTGAAGAATCAGGTTGAGGGTCTTTGACGGAGCAAGCTTCTAACTCATCAAGCTTCGGTCGAAGCCGTCGGGCTTGGCGAGCGAAGGGTTCGCGGTATCCAGGCAGCTGCTCTCTGCGTCTAGCAGAGTAGTCGTTCGGAGCATGAGACTGTGGGTGAAATGCGAAGTCACGTTGCCCGTGGCTGTCTGTAAGCTCAGGAATGTAGTGGGTTCAGCGTAATCACCTTCATTGACAAGACCATCCTCCAAACATAGAATCACTAGAGACAGCCTGGGGACATATGATGTCAGGAAAGAGGTCTTTGATGGAATTTGCCTCACCCTGTTGGGGCAGGGCAAATGCGAATGACCGAATGCAATGGGACGCCGTGCGAAATTGGCTGTCGCGAAGCTGTTGCTAGCAGCTCGTGAGTTCTGCATTGCACAGGGTTGTGCCAGAATTCTTTCCACGCAAGAACTCCAACCAGGTTTGCATACTAACAGGCTTGGCCTTTGCCAGGTTGTAGAGTTTTACGGCCCATCCTGGCAAAATCCTACAGCTTGCATGTTATATCAGCTGCATCCTTACCATTCAGGGTGGTCAATATTATCATATGCCTTCAAGCTTATCATGACTATGGCTACTTGTACTTATTCCTACCCTGTCCTAGGGGCCCCAAAAGGCAGATTTTTCCTGGGTCTGCAAGGCCCTCTGCATCTGGCAACCTCAATCGTCCGTGTAGGAACAAGGTTTATCATGAGGCCGCCCCTCAGGTCCCTACTACTTCGAAGATTTTACAGCGTTGTGGAGGGTTTTCGGGGAGCTGTTGGGGTATGTGGTGGCTTCCAAGAGTGAGTGGTTGCTTTTCAGGGGTTCCTATAGTAAGCATCGCAATGTATTGGGGTCATGTTGGGCCCCCCTTTCTTTGGAAAACTTCATATCCCAACAGGGTTGAGGCGCGTAAGGCCCCCAAACCCTAAATCCTAGATCCGGGGTTTAGCTTCCACATCCTGACAGGACGAACTCTCGAAGCAGCGGAAGGCCATACCGAAGAACCGTGAAGCAGTGTACGCTTTGGGGTTTGCGTGAAGGTTATGGCGCGAATGGTTCCGGGTTCCAGGGTTCAGGGTTTAGGCTTCACGCTTAAGGTCCAAGCTTCATATTTGCAGTGTTCATAAGGTATGGTCCCTTGCTTTGGGCCCCCCGAGCAAGGCAATCTATTTTCAGGGTAGCAAAGGGACCCGCGTGCGGGCACATAACCATCTGAGGTAGGTTTTGTATTCTTGGTTTTGGTGAGTGTCTGCAAGGTCTACTGGCGTGATTTTAAGGAACTTAAGTTAAGTTGCCATCGTGGGAAACTGCATCACTTGCTGCATATCCTCGGTATGCAACTTAATTCAAGTTCCTTTGCAGTGACTTAGTCTGACCGACATAGCAGACCTCGTTTAGTAAGACCGGCCGTGTCACTGTTAGACATCCCTTCTTCGGATCCCGAGTTTCCTATTTATGGTACACAGCTGTGAGAATCTAGTACGAAACTGATTTTAAACTACAGTCATCTGAATCTGAAGGTCATTATTGGCATCATTTTCTTGATCCCCTAGCTTTTACCTTTTCCAAAGGATCTGCTCGTGGGTCTTCTCCCAGGCCTCAAGTGCAAGTTTCGTCCTGTGCCTTCGATTTGCAACCCTGAAGAAGGGTGGTTGTCAAAATTATGGTCCCTTTTTGGGTGCCCTAAATATTAGATGCCGTACTATAATGGGGATCCAAAAAGGGACCATAATTTTGACAACCACCTATATGGGGTTTCAGAGGTATCACAGCTGTGGGCCACCACAAGTGCTGACTCCAGTGGCTAAGTTTCAGCATAAGAACCCGAAGCCCAGAACCTAAGCTACTTCACCAAGCCCGCATCCTTCACACTTTCCGCTGCAAACTTGCAATGAGATCGCTGAGCCGAGCGTTGTAAAACTGCCAAATTTCTATCCCGCGCAAGCCCGTAATGACCCACAAAAGCCCGCGAAAGAAAGAGGCTCCAGAGCCGTACCAGCAGCCGGTTCACCGCAAAGTGTACCTCAGCAGCATTTTGCTTATTGATTCTTTGTAGGGAGTATGAGGATATAGTCCCTGTATGAGCTGCAGTCTAAACTCCTAGCACCCTCTTAATAAGCCCGATACTAGTCCCTGATATAATCCCCTACAAGGAGTTTGGACTACAGCTCATATAGGGGGTATATCCTCTTGTTCCCTGCTAAGAACCAGTAAGTTTGGATCTTTGGCATGCTGCGTGACTGATTGATTGATTGATTGATTTCATAAGCTCTCATATGCTCTCATTCAGCATTTTGTTTGGGTTCACGCAGCTATAGCACGATTGTAGACTTCGGCCCTCTAGAACAGAACTAGCAGATATGGATGTGCGTTTAAATGTTTTAGGGATTTGCTCCTAGGCCCAGTAAACCAACATTTGGGTCTGCCCTGAAGGTACAGAGGAATGTCTGAGGCTGTTGGAGTAGGTTCAGCCACTCGCATGATACTCTTGGTATCACCTGTATTAACCATCATGAGAAATGTGATTGCACCATTCATACCGATATCAATGGTAGTACGTAATCTTATGGGTTCTCAGTATGGAATAAGGAAAAAAATCTTATACAGGGGTTATGTCCCTATTCCCTACTCAGAACCAGTAACTAGTTGTTTTTTGACCGCAACAATCACGATGCCGAAAGCCGAGGCTTTTGCGTGATAAGTCACCTGAGTGACTCGGCATGTGCTCATCTGGTTCTTGTGGTGAGTATTCCCTCAAATGATGTGAGCCATAGGCTCAACTCCTTAAAGGGGGGGGGGGTATGTTGGGGATTATGTAGGGGACAATTATAGGGGTTATGGAGGGGGATACTAGGAGTTTAGATTATAGCTCCTTTGCAGATGCTGTTAGAATGACAGGTGTAGTCCGCAGCAAGAGAGCATGAGGCTCCCTGAGTATATGGGATTTCAAATCATGAATCTGGATTAAAGGTTGCAGCTTGAGGGTTGAGGGACACGGTCTCGGGGACCGGAAGATAACGTCTTGGAGCTAGATGAGAACTTCGCAGACCATGCAGTCTTACTAGGTTGCTGTCAAGGAACTTGTTTAACTTACCACAGTATGCGTATCTGGTAAATAATGGCGTTTCCTTATTGTGGTAGTCTAGTCTAAGTTCCTGAACAGTAACCCCGCTTAGGCGGATGTACTGGTTGGGAAAGCCTGTTCTGGGATATCTGTAGGGGTCCGAAATTTGGACGGGTTCTCCAAATCTGTTCCGTGGAGTCCTTGTAAGAATGAAGTGCCTGATTGTAGGGTTACAGGTGGAAGGAGGATCAACCATAGACCATCCTCTTGGTTCTAAACAATCCTTGAGGTTTGGAAGTGGTCCAGGTTTCGACGCTAGGGTCAGCTTGCAGGAGAATCCGTAACAAAAAAGTAGTCCATGACCTGGTCGACTTTCCTTGTGTTTTCGATCTTTGTGCTGCAATGCGAACTGGTGTCGTGGAGTGTGCTACTTGGAGGGTCATGGGGACTTGGTAAGTAGGTTAGTAACCCCTGTAAGCCACATAATAGCCCCAATAATCCCCATCATTAACCTACTACTTATTAAGTCCATGAGGACTTGGTAAGTAGGTTAATAACCCCTATAGCCATATAATAACCTATTATCCCCATTATGAACCTGTCCCCATGACCCTCCAAGTGGGGGGGCCCTGATGTGAAGACAAAGCCGCTGGCAGGCAGAAGTCGGCGAAGGACCTGGGATTCTGTAGCAAGTCAGTCGTTTAAAGTGGGTTGCTGTTAAGGAACTCAAATTAAATTACCATAATGGGTATATATAGTAAATAATAGGGTTTCCCCAATATAGTAACTTAATTTAAGTTCCTTAACAGCAACCCAGTAAAGTGGCAGGTAACTGCTACAGGGATAGTCATTATTACAGAAACACACTCATCCCTATGTAGCCCCTAAGTAACCCATTATAGTACCTTCCATTTCCTTTTCCATTATCCATGTTTAACCCCACCCTGGACCCAAAAGCATCAATATCAAGCCTGAGTTTTAAGTAAGCTCCGAGGGGCTTGGCCATGCCAACTGCGCACTTGAACCGCAAGCTGGAATGATATGGGGGGATGTCAAAATTATGGTCCCTTTTTGGGTACCCTAACTATTAGGTGCCGTATTATACTAGGGATCCAAAAAGGGACCATAATTGTGACAACCACCCATATGCATAAAAAGCCTTCGCTGCGGTTGCCATAGCCTGAAGTTCCGTGGTGCTCCTCGGAACCCCCTGAAGTCATCCACCGCGCCAGCAGTGTATAGTGACTATAAGGGATAATGGTAATTATATGAGGGTCCTCTTATAGTCCTATTATAGCACTATTACAGGGTGGGGGGTCCTCCTAACCTATAACCCAATATGAGTAGAGTGCCATCCTGAGCCACCGAGGCCGGGGTCGGGGCCTATGGATGAAACCGACTAGCCTGAGCCCTAAAGCCCGAAGCTTTAAATCCTAACCTAAACCTAAAAGCCTTATTTCGGAATCACCGTTGCCACCAACCCGAACCCTACATCCAAGGTCTTGAGCCTTAAGCCCTGAACCCAAAACTCAACCTCAAATCCTTAGTCTTGAGCCCTGAGCTCTCAAAGCCAAAAACCAGCAGGAGATGAATGGCAACGCTGTTCGGCGTGGGACGAGAGGCTATGGAGGGCTTTGAGACTTGGGGGTTTCCCAAAATTAGGGGTACCAACCCTATTACCCCCTATAATGGAGAATCAAATGGAAAAGAAAATGGAAAATGAAATGGAAACTGGGATATATAGGGGATTATAGGGGTTAGGGTATGTTAGGGTTTCCCAAAATTAGGGGTACCTACTATAATGGAGAATCAAATGGAAAAGAAAATGGAAAATGAAATGGAAACTGGGACATATAGGTGCTTATAGGGGTTAGGGTATGTTAGGGTTTCCC